GTCACTACACAAACAATCTAGAATCAATCTCATCTTAATTAAATCGAATCATAATAACTTGATATTACAATAACCCTATTTTTCATTTCATACTTAGGGGTATTGATACACTCCTCAATGTACCGATACACAATTAGCACTCAATGTTTTGGTGTATCGATACACTCCTCAGTGTACCAATACACAAATAGCACTCGATGTTTTGGGTGTATTGATACACTCCTCAGTGTACCGATACACAAATAACATTCGATGTTTTAAGGGTATCGATACACTCCTCAGTGTACCGATACACACTCATACAATCACGCATATTCAACTTATAATCCACCCAAAAACTCTCTTAAACGCATTCTTTGTGTTTATAAAATCACCTTTATACCTTCAAACCAACTTGTACACATTTATAACTCTCAAACATCCCAAATTATCATTTAAACACTTGAATATTCAAATCATACTCAACATTCAAACATGTTATTACCCAATTCTATCACTCCTAATCTTTTAATTAGATTATTGACAAGTCAAATATCCACTTAAAACTTCAAAAACTACACCATAATAACAATTCACTTAAAACCCCATTCTACAAATCCATCTCTAAGACACTTATATTGTTGTTTTAATGCTATATAAGCTTTCCTTGAACTTATATAACATTCAAACTTCCATTACTAACCCAAAAATCAAAGTAACAACACCAAATTAATATTCGTACCTTTAAAGAGGGAGCTCACGTGAAGGAAGAAGAGAATAAGGAAGAGAATAAGAAAAAGCTTCCAGACTTCTTTCATTCTCTCATTCTTATCCTAAAATATCATTTCCCTGTAAATTACCATTTTACCCTTGTTAACCATCCATATTTGCTATAATACCCAACACATATTCCTCTATAAATCATTGAATTATCACATTATCCTAATTCAACCAATGAATTTAAAAGTTCTTACAATTTGGTCACTGACCCGATACTAGGGATATTACATTGGGCCTCAGAGCCTACCCAAGGGAAGCACCTCGGGCCTGAGAGCCTACCCAAGGGAATATCTCGGGGCCTAAAAGTATATCCAAGAGTCACCTTAGGTCCGTAAGGATTTACCAGCTTGATCAGAGCTGAACATCCATACTTCAACCTACCAGATGGTGTCCCAATAAAACAGTTCAAGTAGCAATTAGTAGTTCCATGATCTATACATCAGGCATATTTCATTTTCAAGGAAAACAAGTAACCAGTAAATTAGTATATAAATCAGTAAAAACAATCGTAAATTAACCAGATATCAATTTATAATTTGAACACAAATAAAACGGTCATAAAGAACATAGGGAACACACTAGAAGATTCAATTATTTTTCAAAGGTACTTGATCGTTATCAAGAAGAGAAAACGTAGAATTTTTGTAGATTAATCGGATTTCAGATATGTGGTCCCTATATAAAAGGATTCGATTACTAGCAGATCTAATCATACATTCAGGAATTGATGCTTCACGACCATTTAGGATTTTAGGTGCATCAGAAAGGTATTCAAAAACCTTACATCAGAATCATTTAAGGTTTAGATATATTTGGAAAAAGTTAGCATTCATATAAATATATCAAGAGGGATTTCATTACTCGGACTGCTCAAGACATTCTTGACATTTAATTCATGAATAATTCTTGGTAACTTAATCCAATAATGGTAAACGATGATTTACGATATCCATGATTTATATTGAATTATATGAATTTTGAGTCAGATCAGACTAATCAGATCCCAACAATATAATACATACCAATAATTCAGACTGAGACCCTTCATAATATTCTCTTCTTAATACTAAATGCACTAGCTGAATCGATCACCTTTCAGAATCATCATAGATCAGTTCTCAAAGAGACGAATAAGTATTCCGATGATATTATTTATTTTTGTATTGTATCAATATCAAGAATTCTAGACATGTCTGGGTTATGCTCCATAACCTTTAGGGACGATACAACATTTAAGTTTATTGGTATTTCTAGAATTTATCCAAAGACATTCACTTATTCCAACTCACTAGGATATTTAGTTCACTTCAACACTCAGGGTTACTTCTGTAATCTTATAGTTCAAGGTATTTTAATCATTTTAGGGTTTAGGGGTATTTCAATCTTTTAAATATCAGATGTTATTTTAGTTATTTCGTAGCTCGATGACATTTCGATAATTCTTTTCAATCCAAACATATGCACTTTTTCTGGTAATTTGGTCAAGTATGTCCTTTCTGGGTTATTTTTCATTTTCAGGGGCAATCTTGGTCTTTTTACAATGCAAGGGCATTTTTGTAATTTTATTCCATAGAGCTATTTTTGCAATTTCTTAACCAAGTATTCTCGACATTTAACTTTTAAATAAATTAATCAGAATTTTTGGATCTTGAAGTCAATTTATTTACTAAATAATCACTAAACTTAGAATTGTTTTCGATCGGTCTACCAATTTCTTTGGATTGGTTCTTAACATGGATTGTGGTCCATTGAATTGTGCTCATGAGAACTTGGAGCGTCTAGCCATGATGGAGGGATAGGGATTTAGGTCCATTTTCTCAACATATGGTGCTTTTCATGTTCACGGAATATAACAAGTAAGACTCTGATTCAATGGAAGCCTATTGTCTTGTTAAAATAGCCTACAAAGCGCGGATCTTTGGGCTCATTACCGGTTTTCTTTTTCTTACTCTCAGGGATGGATTGAGGGACTGATTGAGGCGATTGTTTTCTAAAATTTTAAATTCTTTATAAATTAGTCCTCTTAAAATTTTATAAATTTATCTTTCTAACATAAAATCTTACGTCTACCACAATTTACATCAAGAGATGGACCCCAAGTCGTCCTCTCTGAAAATTCTAAATTATCATATATATTAGCTTTTTTTTCTATGTCTTTTCTATTAATAATCTATTTTCACCTTTAAAAATTCTATAAATTCACTCTTTCTTAAAATTTTAGAAATTTATCTTCTACATAAAATCTTGTGTTCGTTCTTATCTACGTTTGCTTCTTTCCTGATTGTTTTGGGGTTTTTTTAGCCTGAGAACTTATTAATGCAGCATGTAGATGATTCCGCAGGAGATTCGATTGATCTCTTGCAAGGGCTACTACAGTATAATCCACTTTTCTTAATGTAGGATCATATTCTATATAAATATATTCATATCATGTGTATAGATTTCTTGAACAATTTGTTTGTCGTTTCTCGGGAAGTCGTTTATATCTAAATACAAATCGAACTATTAAATGAATGAAAATCAAGAAAAGCGATATATGAACAAAATGTATTATGTTAATGGTGTTAAATATGTGATTCGCTTGTCGTTATATACCACCCCATAAACAATGCTAAATAATTATTCATATAGATAGATAATAGGGATTATATTTAGAAGTAAGACAATTTTTACAACTATATTATATTTTTCTATTTTCAACAGTAGTGAAAATTATCATCTTTTCTTCGTAGTTTTTCCAGTCAAAGATTTTTTTTATGTAAAATCTTGGTGTTTCTTTTATTATGAGATTATTATACTTATCATTGTATACTCTAACAAAGTGATATCAAAGCATATTCAGGTTTTATATGATCATGATAATAGTTTTATGAAGTATAAAATTATGTAATTGGATTGTAACTCTAGATTTGCATTGTGGTAGGTTAAGATGCAAGTAGTTCTAAAGTAGATGGATTTAGATGATGTCTCACTAAGGTTAGATAAAATACCTTTGACATAAATACTTGAAGAAAAACAATGTAAAGATAAAAAGGCTTGATCACAATTGCATATGTACTTATTGAATGAAATTCTATGAAACGCGTTGAAGAAAAAGATTGTTGATGAATTAGGATTGAAATTGGAGCAACTATGTATGTAAAAAACCTTAACTAGTAAGTTGCAAATGAAAAAAATGTCTTTATTCTCATCGTTTCGAAAAAGGTACATATTTGATAGAACACTTAACCATCATTAAGAAAATTTCAGATTTGAAGATCATGAAAGTTACATATAAAGAAGATGATTTACGGTTAATTCCATTTTATTTGTTGCCTTATTCTTATTTGACCTTTAAAAATATAATTTTGATAATAATTCTTATAGTTGATGAAGTTTATGATTACTTAGATATATATGATAAGACAAAACATCTCGTGAATAGATCCAAGCCTCAAGGAGTCAAAACCTAGGACGAATTAAAAAAAAAGTTATGACGACAATGCAAAGATTAAGTCAAAATCTAGGAATGTAAGAAAAATATGTTATTATTGTAAGAACAAGGGAGACATTAAGGTTGAATACTACATGTTACATTGAACCACAAGTACTACATGTTACCAAATAAAAACTAAAGGAATATTTTGGATCACAAGAGAAAACAATGAAAGAAACCTAGGGAGGCTAACATAATGGAAGACTACGACGATGATGAACTTTTAGTTATTTTTTATGAAGATTTTATAATAAATAAGGGGTAAATTCTTGAATCTGGTAGTAATTTTCACTTAAATTCCCAATTAGAATTGATTTGTGGTAGATAAAAATATTTCCCCACAAAGTTTGTGATACATTTCGCTTGATATATAAATATATTAGAGAAATCCAATTCGAGTAAAAAACCAAGTTTGAATTTATACGAGAGTATACTTCTACTATTAAACTTTGATTAAAAAACCAAATTGAAATTTCTATAAGATTATATTTCTACTATTAGACATGGATTAAAAATAATAAACCTAACTCAAATGGATTTCTTGCTATTCAATTTCTAACAACCCTCAAAGTACATCCGTACAGCAATAGAGCAAGCGATAAAAAGTAAAGATTTGCTATTCCTTCTCTACCCTCCTACTTTCTCTTTTTCTGTGACCTTCATTTTCTAGTTTCTTCTTCATCTCTCTTTTTGATCTGTACTTCCCGGGTTTTGCCAGCCTTCTAGTTCTACCTATAACCCTAACTCCAGTTGAAGAGCTTCTATTGTTTATGGCTGACTCCTCTTCGTCTTCTTCGTATATCCATATGGTAAGTCTTGAATTTATTTCTATGAAAAATATGGTTTTATGAACAATATATTAATGATCGAGTATAAACGCAGGTGCACCGTCTGATTGAAGAATGTTTGATATTCAGCATGAGCAAAGAAGAGTGCATGGAAGCTTTGTCTAAGAATGCAAATATAAAACCAGTCATCACTTGTACAGGTAATTTGTATAATGGAAGTAAGGGTGTTCTGCAGTTAGTATAATTATAGAATCTGCGATTTGGTTACAGTTTGGAATGAGTTGGAGAAAGAGAACAAAGACTTCTTTGAGGGTTACACAAAGGGAAACCATGAAAGAGCTACTGAAATACAGAAAAGACAAAGGATCCAGAGCAGTCTGAATGGCTACACAAGAGAGAATAATGACAAGGATTGATTTTAATTACAGTTGAAGTCATGTTTTCGGTTGCGTTGCATTAATCAAAATTACAATAATAATAGATGTTATTGAGATCATTATGAATATCGCGACCGTACAATATCAATTTCGAATGAGTACTTCATTTGTCTTCTTTGTATATAGGTTTAGTTTTTGGTGTAGCAAACCAAGGAAAACTTGCCCTTGCTATATTCCTCAACAACCCACTAATATAACAATTCATCTCAAACTCATACGTAAAATATCAAGTGAAATTTTGCAGACAATTTATATTATTCTATTCTTGTTGTTGGGAACATACAAGCGCATATATATGTTAGATGGGAAAGAAAGAGTCATGATAGCGGGGCTATTAATCGAAATTATGAAACCTAATAAGATATAGTATTATATGTTATGCCATGGATTACATATCGACTAATTATTATAAAAAAATGAATACAATTTTAAACACATATGAGTTGTAAAAAATGAAATAAATATAATATAATATATGTTCATAATCATTTTTAACCATTAAGAATGTATACAAATGATGCAAATGTATCTGCTCTAATATGGGACCTCTAATAAAAAGAACACTTCCTTCTGTCACTAGAATTGCTCAAAGCCTTATTTTTAACTGTTTATTTAAATATTAGTTAAAGGAATTTGAAAAAGGAGAATTGCAAAAATTGGGGTTATTCAGATCTAAAATAGCATGGAAAAATTATTGTTGGGCCTTAAACTTCAAATCCAAATATGTAAAACGTTGCATTTCAAACCATAGACCATTGGGCATCTCCACTATGACGGTCCACTTTGTAGTTTCCTTCTTTCTTGATTCAATTTTTTATTTTAAATTATTATTAAGAACTCGATTTATACTCAAAATTTGATGGACACTTACGTTTGAAGTAAAGGATGGGAACTAATCTTCATTTAATCAACTTAAGTCTAAACTATCCTTGGAATAAAGTCAATAATTTATATTCAAGTTTTGATAATCTTTGAATTAAAACTTCTCTAATTTGATTGCATCGTTATAATAGAGGTTAAACTTGTGGAAAAATCAAAAGCAGCCGGCTGCTAGGCTGCTGATTTTTTGTTTTTTTATTATTATTTTTGTTGAATTATGCAAGGGATAATTACAAATCATTGTACTTTAGGGTATTTACAAGATTAGCCCTTAGGTTTCAACTATAAATACCCTAGCTCATTTAGCTTCAAATCATCCCAAAGCATTCTAGCTTTCTTCCAATACTAGAGAATTTAGAGAGTTTCTTGAGAGTTGTTTTCTTCTTTTTATCAAGAGAGAATTATCATTGTTTTCTCCTTGGTAGATAGAGAGAAGTTGTAATTCCTATTTTCTCATAGTGAAATTTTTCTACCGTTGCCCGTAGTTTTTACCCTATATTATTTAGGGGTTTTCCACGTAAATTTTGTGTCTCTTTTATCTTCATTTTTATTTTCTCAAATTATCAGTTGTGATTTTGCTCTATCCGATAGCCGTCTTACGCAACAATTGGTATCCGAGCTAGATTAGAGTGTGTAATATCTGCTTATTGTCTTTGTGGTTGCCACCAAAAGGTGGATCCTCCAACATAAGAAAGTAAGAAGGTATTACCCATTCTTTGAAGGTTCCAGAGAACTATTCACGATAGTGAAATAGTGGGAGCTATCTGTAATAGAAGCTATGACAACGAAATTTGATATTGAAAAATTCAATGGGAGAAATTTCTCACTGTGGAAATTGAAGATGAAGGCCATCCTGAGGAAAGACGGGTGTCTAGCGGCTATCAATGAAAGGCCGGTGGATTTCGTAGATGACATCAAATGGAACGAGATGGACGGGAATGCTATGGCAAACATTCATCTAGCATTAGCAGATGAAGTATTGTCAAGCATCGAGGAGAAAAAGACAGCTAAAGAGATATGGGATCATCTCATCAAATTGTACGAGGCCACATCGCTGCACAATAAAATTTTCCTTAAGAGGAAATTGTACACTCTCCGTATGCCAGAATCTACTTCAGTGATGGAGCACTTAAATACACTGAACACCTTATTTTCTCAGCTTACATCCTTAAGCTGTAAAATAGGAGAACAAGAACGTGCTGAACTTCTACTTCAAAGTCTACCGGATTCGTACGATCAACTCATCATCAACTTGACAAACAGTAATGTCACCAGTCTAGTCTTCGATGACGTTGCAGCTGCTGTTCTACAAGAAGAAAATCGGCGCAAGAACAAAGAAGACAGACAAGTAAATCTGCAACAAGCAGAAGCGTTAACAACGATGACAACGATGAGAGGGAGATCAACAGAACGTGGCCAAAGCAGCAGTCACAAATATGGTAGATCGAAGTCGAGGAGCAAGAAGAATTTAAAGTGTTACAACTGTGGAAAGAAGGGTCATTTGAAGAAGGATTGTTGGAGTCTAAATAAAAACTCCAATCCACAAGGCAATACTGCAAACACTTCAGATGATGGAGATGCTCTATGCTGTGAAGCGTCAACCACCGTGGAAGGAAGAAAACGATTTACAGATATATGGCTCATTGATTCGGGAGCAACATATCACATGACCTCAAGAAGAGAATGGTTCCATCATTATGAACCTGTCTCAGGAGGATCTGTTTATAGTTGCAATGATCATGCCTTAGAGATCGTTGGCGTGGGAACCATCAAATTGAAGATATATGACGGAACAATTAAAGTTGTTCGAGATGTGCGGCACGTGAAAGGCCTGAAGAAAAATTTATTATCCTACGGATTGTTGGATAATAATGCAAGCAAGATTGAAACACAGAAAGGAATCATGAAGGTGTTCCGTGGAGCGCTTGTGGTGCTGAAAGGCGAAAAGATAGCTGCAAACTTGTACATGCTGAAGGGAGAGACTTTGCTAGAAGCAGAAGCCTCTGTTGCCTCATGTAGTTCAGATTCTGCAATGTTATGGCATAAGAAACTTGGACACATGTCAGAACAAGGAATGAAAGTCCTTGTGGAGCAAAAGCTACTTCCCAGCTTAACAAAGGTATCACTTCCTTTGTGTGAGCATTGTATAACAAGTAAGCAACACCGGTTGAAATTCAACACATCAAATTCTAGAGGCAAAAGTGTTCTAGAATTGGTTCACTCTGACGTATGGCAAGCACCGGTCACATCCCTAGGCAGAGCAAAATACTTTGTCTCATTTATTGATGACTACTCCAGGAGATGTTGGGTGTACCCTATTAAGAAGAAGTCAGATGTTTTTGCAACTTTCAAAAACTTCAAAGCGCGGGTGGAACTTGATTCTGGAAATAAGATCAAGTGTTTCAGAACAGATAATGGAGGAGAATACACAAGCGAAGAATTTGATGACTTTTGCAAGAGATAAGGCATCAAAAGACAGTTCACAGTGGCGAACACTCCTCAACAAAATGGAGTGGCAGAGCGGATGAACAGAACCTTGTTAGAAAGAACACGAGCAATGTTGAGGGATGCAGGCCTAGAAAAATCATTCTGGGCAGAAGCAGTCAATACCGCCTGTTATTTGGTGAATCGAGCTCCATCAACTGCAATAGAGCTGAAGACACCAATGGAGATGTGGACTGGTAAACCATCTGATTATTCAAATCTCCATGTATTTGGAAGTATTGTGTACGTGATGTACAACTCCCAAGAAATTTCGAAGTTGGATCCAAAATCCAGGAAATGCAAATTCTTGGGGTATGCTGATGGAGTAAAGGGGTATCGCTTGTGGGATCCCACTGCCCGCAAAGTGATCATTAGCAGGGATGTTATCTTTGTAGAAGATAAGCTACAAAGAAAAGAAGACGATGCTAGCGCTGAAAAGTCAGAGATTACTCATATACATGTGGAAAAGGAGGTTGAACAAGGAGATTCTTCTGAAGCAGAACCAGCTCATGATGAACAAGAACTAGAGAGTTCTGAAGCTCCAATAATCGTCAATCAGATCGTGTGAGAAGACGTCCCAATTGGCACTCAGATTATGTTATAGAAGGTAATATTGCATACTGCCTTTTAACAGAGGACGGTAAGCCATCAACATACCAGGAGGCAATAAACAGCTCAGATGCTTCATTATGGATGATGGCGATGCAAGAAGAAATCGAAGCCCTTCATAAAAAATAATACATGGGACCTTGTGCCACTACACAAGGAAGGAAGCCAATTGGTAACAAATGGGTCTTCAAAATCAAGCGAAATGTTGACGATCAAGTGGAGAGGTACCGTGCAAGACTGGTGGTCAAAGGATATGCTCAAAAAGAAGGTATTGATTTCAATGAAATATTTTCTCCTGTGGTTCGACTAACAACAGTTCGAGTACTCTTGGCAATGTGTGCTACATTGAACTTACATCTAGAGCAGCTAGATGTTAAAACAGCTTTTCTTCATGGAAATCTTGAAGAAGAGATTTATATGCTCCAGCCTGAAGGTTTTGAAGAAAAAGAAAGAAGAACTTGGTTTGCAGGTTGAACAAATCTCTGTACGATCTAAAGCAGGCGCCGAGGTGTTGGTATAAGAGATTTGATTCCTTCATTATGTGCCTTGGATACAACAGACTTAATGCAGACCCTTGTGCTTATTTCAAGAGGTCTGGTGATAACGATTTGTTATATTGCTGTTGTATGTGGATGACATGTTGGTTGCAGGACCCAACAAAGATCATATTGAAGAATTAAAGGCACAACTGGCTAGGGAATTTGAAATGAAGGACTTGGGATCAGCAAACAAGATTCTAGGGATGCAAATTCACCGAGACAGAAGTAATAGGAAGATTTGGCTTTCACAAAAGAATTACTTGAAGAAGATCTTGTCACGATTCAGCATGCAAGATTGTAAGCCAATTTCTACTCCTCTTCCTATTAACTTCAAATATCCTCCAGTATGAGTCCTAGCAGTGAAGAAGAGAGGATGGAGATGTCTCGAGTACCGTATGCATCAGCAGTGGGAAGTTTAATGTTCGCTATGATATGCACAAGACCAGAATTGCACAAGCAGTGGGAGTG